AGGAAGGAGGATCACTTACTCTCCAAGATGCGCAAGATTTAGGGGTCCTTAGTAATGTTGATTCGCAAGAACAAGTGGTTCTAGTAGAAAATAGTAATTGTACGAGCCCGAGTCTAGTACCTCGCCGGCGCTGTGGACTATGTGGGAAACATGGCCATAACATACGAACTTGTCAAAAAGGAGAAGAAATATGTGAGGATTCCGATTCTGAATACTGTAATTAATTTAATTAATTGTGTCTTGAGATATTTAAGAATTTTTAAAATGCCAAGAAAAAAAATCCATTTCGCTTGGGAATCCAACTCGCTTGTGGACTACGTTATCTTATTACTATTCTCTTTTTTTATTCTTTTCCTATATTGTGACGGTTCTGACCATCACGTGGCGCCGCTTAGCGACCCACACCATGTTTGTAGACTCGAGCTCCCTCGAGCTCTCCTCTTCTCTTCAGCTTAGAATCTTCGAATAAGACAGTTCTACGATTTCATAACCTACACCTTGGACGCCCACAGGCAACATATCGTACGTGTCGTCACATATATAGGGGGCTTAGGAGGTAAAAGGGCTAGGGAATATAAGCTATCTAGAGTTTATATACTAATTAGCGTAGGTAGATAGGCTACCTAGTCACCTAACCCGGAGTTTCAACCCTCCGTCTACTGGTAGCTAAGTCGAAAAGTTAGTGCCTCTTATCGGTAAGGCAGCAAAACCCCTACCAAAACCCATAGTCGCAACCGCAAATCGGTTTAAATACTACTTTTAAATCTAATTAGAAGTAAACAACGGGGTAAAATGGCCGGGTTTTAGTATAGGTGCTAATATAACCTAATACAAAGTGCTAAACAATTTAGACACGATTTGCGCTCGATGCGGGCTGTTCTTTCGTGCTACCTCGCGTGCCCACCAAAAGTCCGGATCACCTGACCAGTTTTTTTCGGGTCCATTCCGGGAACGCTGAGAGCCAATCAACCCCTGTCTCGCTTAGATAAAAGACAATGTATATAAGAAGATAGAGTGGTACAAAAGCTAAATGAATTCAGGAAATGGTTCCGAAAGTTGGAAGTTGGGCATGTATACGTTGCTGTTATTAAGTGTAACCTTAGTCCTTTCAAATACAGCGTAGGCTCGACAGCATCATCATCTTCCTGAACAGCATTCAAGTGATTCTCTTCTTCTTTCTTTGCTTCTATTGCCGCTGTTGCTTTTGAACTCGTTTTTGTTGAGCACATCTCATCAGAGGTTATTATAGCCGAGGGTCGGTGTAGCTGAGGGGTTGTTTTTGGCGGATCTGTTGTTGCCATATTTAAAGACATCGAAGCGGTGTTTGTCCTTTGGTTTTCAAGATATATGACGAATCTTGCCAAGTTAGCCACGAATTTGAGTAATTATGTTGTAAATCTAAGAGCAGAACTAGTCAAACTCTTGTTTTTCAAATGGATAACTGACATCGTATATATCACGTGATCAGCTCGCTATGGGTTTTCCGCTGTTTGGCCACTAAACGAGTACGTCCAGTATGGATATTTCTTCTTTGGATCAGTTCATTTACGCACATTTAACACACCCCTAATTCATACTTGAAGCTCATGTTTGTACTTGATAGTAATAATTCCCTAAACAATGAGACACACTAAGTTCGTCAAGTATTGTAAGAAAGGTGAAAGAAATGAGTCAGTTAGTTACCTTCATAAATGACATAAGCTATCCCTGATGTCCAAGTAATCTTGAGTATAGCTTTCATGCTGGATATGTTCTTTTCCGACATACCGTTCTTCTCTGGTTCCATATTTTCGTACTCACTGTTCTGCTTGTAGACTTTGTCTTCCGACTTCATTTCGCAGTACGCTTCGCACGTACTGGGCTCATGAAATTTCTGGTGCTTATTGGCATTTTCGCTTCAAGAGTGGAGCTAGAATAGCAAGTAGAAGTATGTCGATGGAATTAAAAAAGCTATTGGGGAATTCACTGGTGGTGTGAGCAACCAAGATGGAAGAGTATAAATGATTGTCAACAATTCACACAACAATCTGAAAGATTAACAGTCAGTAAAACAAACATTCACATTATTCGTAATGCTCACAGTATCTGTGAATCACATCTCCAATTAGGCGAGGTCTTTTATAAATCTCCACAAACCCACTTCTCATCACCTTCCCCTTTAAACCTCCACAAAACGCAGATTACAGGCACCTCTTAGACAGCCGCAAAAAGTACTTCAACTGTCCCATCTCATCATATCTCACTTTGCAGCCATCAAATTCAAAATGGGGAAGATTCTCAAATACGACGCAAGCATGCCCCAGCCCATCGCAATATCCATCAACGACCCCAGTTTGCAACGGCTTATCGCTAGAATAGAACGCCAAACGACTCAAGTCAGATTCCCTGACAAAGTTTCGATCGATACCCTTCCACAAGAAGCCTTGGAATCAGGCTTAAATAATGAAAGTGCAAACAAGCAGCCCATGGAGACCACAAAGGCATATCATGACAAGGTAGGCGGGGTTTCGAGAAGTTTAAAGTGGGTTGGCAGGATGGAACCGATCAAAGAAATGAAAGGGCACTTGAAAGCGACCTGGAAGGAGTTCTCTGGAAAAAGAAAGAACGTTGCAACGAAACCTGGGGAATCGGTCGAATCGAAGGACATAAAGGAAACGCTCGAGGGCGATGAAGAAAAACAAGTCCCCAAGACAGAAAAGAACGACTTGCCACCGATCGTTATGGCATGGCCAACCCGTTTCGTTTTGAACGCTATACCTGAACCTACAGAGCCAGACGTCCATCTTCAAGTATTCGAACAGGCATTTCATGTTCATTCAGCTATCCTAAAACACAAGTCTGATTTCTTCAAAACGTTCCTTGATTCTCCCGATAAATCAGGACTGATTGATAGAGACTGCCAGTTCCACTACAAGTGGATCAGTATCGTAGACGAAGACGAGCAATGGTCATTAGTCTGGGATCACCCGGATCCTGAGAAGGTTGGTTAAGCTAATCCTGCTCCCCATAACCGCCATTACTTATTGAGAATATATAGAAAACAACTCATCACTCCGAGATAAGCGATACTTCAGCTGAGATTCGACGTTTCAAAACTCTCTTGGACATCTTCTATGGAAAGAGAGTTGCATTCGAGTCCGCCAACCATTTGGCGCGTATTATAGAGTGGGCAGACTATTACCGCGCGCTTCCAGTGGCTCGTGGCGCAATAATGATGGCTCTATCAGAGGACGAGAATGGTCGGCTTTTTTATGAACTTCTACAATACATGAGAGATGACGCTTCTTATGTCTTGTATCTAGCCTCCAAGCTGGAACATAAAAAGCTAGCTCGAGAATGCCTCATTCACATGGTTGGAATTTGGCGAAGCGAGGCCATTGATGATAATACTCATCCCTTCCTAGCGAAACATAGAAGTGAATTGCTGAAGAAGTTGAGGATATATTGGCAGAGGCTTGGAATGAATGCAACAGCGGACAGTACGCAAACTCCAGTTGATCGAACATTTTGACGGTCAGCTATCATTAATTTTGAGGTTTTCTTGGTGAGTGATCCGCAAGTGTTCACATACACATGTTGCTCTCTTCTTGTCAGTTATACTTCTGCACTTTCTAACAAGACTGAAAGGCGTCTCCGATCCCTAAACTATGTAGAGATCTTTATGCTAGACATAAAGATGGTGATAAAATCCCTGTCTATCTCCTAAAAGACACTCTCGAGTTACTGGACAACTCTCTCGAATTGGATACCTTTGGATTATTTCAGGCTGGAGTCGGAGATTACGAGAACAGACTCTTCTGTATTCCTGTCACCAACCACGATATAGAATCCGCAATCAGCAAACTTTATCTACCCCTTTAGAACTGCAAGGCTGTATGGCAAACCGGAGTCAACCATCTTTGCCTAGTTTAATCTACTTCAGTTACTTCATGGACGTTTTGGTTTCAGTATCGCACTCCTTTTTGCGGGTAGAAGACATTAGCGTGAACTCTATCGTATATTCTTCATTTGTGATAGCCTACACCTTTCCATATCACTTCCCATATTTTTTCGGTACAGTAGTAAAGCTCGACCGACATCCTCCCATACGTGTATCAAGGGGAAAAGCACTGGATCTCAACAAAATGAACGAAGGCGGATAGAAGTAGAAGACTTGAAATGAACGAAAAGATTTCTGTCAACTTTTATGTATTGCGCCCACCAGGACTTGCACGAAGATAAGAGGTACGAAATTGAGCAATTTCAATGGCAAGGGCGGTGTTTATAGCACGGGCTTAGTCATGGATCAGGGTTCTACCCATATGAGTTCCAAACAGGATTTGCGAAAAGGAATGAAAATCAAAACTCGCTATCGATTTAACGAAAAAACAGGCCTAACAAGTCCAAAGTAAAACTGATAAAAGTCAAAGTGCGGGCATGTTTATAAAGGGGTATTGGATGTCAAAGATACAGGGTCTCCCCTTCGTCGACCGTGTTTACTTGCTTCCATCTCGCCATTCGGATCCGTTGCCAACCGGCTCAGAGCCTCCGCTGCTACTACCTGGCAATATGCCATCGTCGCTGTCATCGTCTTCGTCCAAGACCCTAGCCAGCTCATCAGGATCCTTCATTTTCGCATCTGTAGTATCCACGACACCATCTTCCTGTTCCTGGAACACCCTATCGCTTTCGTTCTCCAACACGCCGTCATCAGCGGACACGCTAATTCCCCTAGAACCCCAATTCGAGCCTGCGCGAGGTGGGGCTGGGCCATCGCCGCCTAATGCTGGAGCACTCTCCTCATCATCGATGTTTCCTACAATTCTGCGATTTCCAAAGACCTTGTTGAGGATCCAACCATTCTTCACATCATCGGCATCCACGATACCACCGTGTCTCAGCTTGACTCTTTGTCTGGAGTAGTAGACCCAGAAGAAATCAACATAGAACGCGGTTTGTATAACACCGAAGATGATTGGAATTGGTTCCGGACCTCGGCCATGGGGAGAAATTTCCCGCCATATCCAATTCAGGATGTACAGACCACGATATGAGCCCAAAGTGATCAGGTAGAAGGAATCGATAACAGTCGGTACTGAAGTCTGGCGGAGGAGTAATAGTTGCGGAAGAACGCATACCGATTCAAGGATGATGGAAAAGACCCACAGCATCTATTGTAGAACCCAAAATTAGCAGCTGTATTCTTGATGTCCGTGTTTAGGCCCAACATGCCAAGGTAATACGAACCTCCTTGAAATGCCACATCTCCGATTTCTCAAAGATCATCATGACGAATGGTGCCATGACAGCACTTCCCACCAGACAAGCAAACCCAAACTTCCATGCCTTCTCTCTTTCTCGAGTTCGGGCAAAGACCCGAAGCATTATGAATAGGATATACAACGACGTAAAGATGTAAAATATCTTGAGACAAAAGTTCCAAACCATACCCCACGCGTAGGGTTCGAAGATGTCGAGGTAACGCGTTATGAAAACAAGGGCGTAGAGGGTTTGGGTAATGAGTGAGACACCCTCAGAGCTTCGGTTTCGATGAATAGCGTATATAAGAATGCATTTCGAGAGGGTATGAGCCACATCGGCCAGGACTCGGAACACCTGCTTAGAATTAGCTATGTTGCGTGAATTGACAGATGGAAGGTGTATTCACATTCATTCCCATCGCGACGGATTCGGAGATTCTCTTTGGTCCTGAGAGAGAAAACGGGTTAAAAAGAAAGGTTGAAAGGGTTGCAGATATTCCTGTATCAAAGTATCCCCTGTGTTTTAAATTGACTCTTGATTTTGGGTTGTACTGGTGTAGCCAGGTTACATTACGCGTCGATGGATGGTCGGGATGCTATTCAAAGCCCCGGATCATGGCAGTCGTATGCGCTTGCGCTTACTGTTATTCGTGAAGCTGTCTGAAGCTATCACAGGTGTCGTGACAGTTGTGAGATATCGGATGAATGCGAGGGCCTCCTCTGCGGTGCTAGTGTTGATGGTGTTTGAGAGAGATGTTGCTGTCAGCACAAGGCTATGTGTCGTCGAGACAAGCTGTCCCTCCCGAGCGATGGTGTCACAGGTTCAGCCACAGATGTGGCGTAGTATATTGCACCCTTGCACTTTTGCAATCCGATGGATCTGCAACTTTTTGAGGGAAATAAAAATATATGCGCTCTTGAGAGACGCCAAAGTACTTCTTTACGAATGAGTTCTTCAGGTAATTGTTCTTTGCGATTTCTTTTTATCTTCTTCGCTGGAAGCTGTGAAACACTAGAGGGCCAAGTTGCCAAGCTGATACTGCAGAATGTGACGCAGGACAAGTAAAACCATGTGCGAAGTGAATAGCTACCGACTCCGTACTGGTTTAGAAACGCTATTTTGAAATCAAGAGGCTGTTGAGAGGTAGCCTTCCAAAGTGGTATTTACCGTTCTTCCTGCAATTGAGACGAATTACCAATTAGTAAGCGATAACAACACCATACTACTATTGGGCATATTTCTCTGACCTGAGAGAGTTGCCGAACATCGGAATATTTGGATACCGTATTATGTTTTTTATTTCAAGACTGTTGTTTCCTCGATGTTCTGGTTTTCAATATGGACACCCGGTATAAATGGATTGTATATCACGAAAGAGTGTGTGTAGTTCGGTAGAAGACTCTTAGCGAGATTCGTTGCTGTATTCTTTTCAAATTCCGGATAGGTTCCTGCGACTACAGAAGATCACCTGCTAGATCAAAACGAAGAGAATTTAAAATATTTGGTATTTCAGGCACGCGTATATTGAAGTACTGATGCTCACAGGGAGTTTATCCACCAATCAGTTGCAAAAATATGGTCTTCCTAGAGTAATGTACAGGACTTACGAGTACAGCAAAAACTGTGAGTGAGCCGCGTTAGCCATGAAAATCAAATCATAATATTCTGATTGATTCAAACATTCATAGCCTTCCATCAAAGTGAATAGATTGTGATGGAATAATGATTGGCGTATGGGGTGTTGAAGATCTCACCCCCACACCCAACCAACATAAGCCAACATCTTCCTTCTGTACCTCTTCCACACTTCGTGTTATTCATGGCCAGATATTTCTGGAAAAATTGATTCCGTGCTACTAATTACTTCTTTTCAACGTGTTGATTCCATTGACATTTCTCATTCACGATGTCAACATCTCCCGAGAACCCCACCATTGTAATCGTCCAAGGTTCCTTCCAAACACCCCTTGTCTACGCAGACCTCTTCAACAAACTCACAGAAAATGGCTACCCAACAATCCACCCCAAACTACCCAGCTGCACAGATATCTCCCATCCCGACTTTGCATCCAAGGACCTCATCGACGATGCGCTCGCCGTCCGCTCAGCAGTCACGCGACTCGTCGAGTACGAGAGCAAAACGGTGGTATTGGTAATGCACTCGTACGGCGGACTCGTCGGAAGTGAAGCAGTACCACCTGAGCTTTCCTATACACACCGGAAAAGTAAAGGACTGGAAGGTGGTGTAATACATTTATTCTACTTCACCGCATTCATCATGGAAGAAGGAAACTCGGTCTTAGGAACATTCGGAGAATCATCAAATAACATCGTCTCGGTAATTTCCTCTCTTCAATCCCCTCTTCTTCCAACCATTGACATAAATCCAGCCAAATGGAACATTCACCATACTCAACCCCGAGAAAGTCCTCTACGGCGATCTACCCCCATCTGAAGCCGAGAGATGGACTTCAAAACTGATTCCTCAATCTTACGCTGTGCAAAAAACGAAACTTACGAGAGCGGCATGGAAATACATCCCTTCTACGTATCTTGTTGGGACGAATGATCAGGCTGTTCCAAAGGAGTACCAGGACGGGTTCGCTAAGATGGCTGGCGCTGATGTTGTGGAGGAGAGTGTGGGACATAGCGCTATGTTGAGTCATTTGGAAGTTTTGGTGGAGAGAGTTTTGGGGGCTGTTAAAAGTGCTTTGGAGAGGACTAAGGAGGTGTGATGGGAGGAATGTATCTGCCAGAGAAAGACGGAAGTTTCCATGAGATTGCCACCCCTTCCGACCTGGGACCAGGGGACCAGAAAAGTAGCAGATTCTTTCCCACTAGCGTAGCGCATCAAAATACCTCATTAATCTCCTTATTTAAATCATTTCAATGTTTGAAAGCAACTTAGTTGGAAGAAAGAATGTATATAACACTTTTCTTGTCGACCGGGAGGCTCTATTCTAATTTTAAATTAATCTTGGATATCTTGTACAATCTTTAAGAGATAAATTACACGGAGTGAAACCGACTACCATTCTCTTTACATGAAATGTTAGAACAGAAATTTACAAAGAACTATTGTGTCTAATTCTGGAATTATTCGAGCGCAGTTGATTCGCTCCCGGTAATAAGCGAGATGGCCACCGAAAACCAAAACCCTTTGGGAACACAACGCTATAACATATGAAGGATTTCGATTATCTTATACTCAGGTACTTATAGATCTGAAGGCGTCTGGTGGCGTAATAAACTTGAATCGTTTAGTGATTTGTTCGGGAGAGGGTAAGCTGACGACGAGGGATTTGCTTAGCGATAAGGGATGGGACTAGGGATTGTGCTAACCGGAATTCCGGGAGTTCTCAGTTTGGAAGTTGGAGTCGATGATGGGTCTTGGGACGGAGTGGCTTCGAGAATCTAGATATACAGAGATGGGAGAGGTTCTATGAGGGAACAATTAAGTTGAAAATGGTAAGTAGTCCTGGTTTTTGTAAGGCAACAATCTGAAATCGAAAGACATCAAACAATAACGCAACAACGATTTCTTAGGGCGTTGAAAACAGCACGATGTTTCTCGAAAGCTGTGGATTTCGAACACAACATCGGAGACGTTTCTAGAAAAACGATAGTTTGGAGACAACCGCGCCTCGGGAGCCGTAAATGAATCTCCGGTTGTAATTTGTGAACTAAACCATAGAGCTATGATTACTCGAGCCCTGCGAGACCCTCGACTCAACTCGTATTCCCCCAACATCATTCCGTATTCCCTGACTCCCCAGCGCCTCAACCTTCGTCCGATGAGTACTAATCAACTTCAGCCCATCATAGACACGACCTTTCTCCCACCTCTCCGCCTCAGCCTCAGACTCAGAAGTAGGCAACCGCGTCTCACTATCACCATACCCCCCCGAAAGCTTGAACCCTGACGAACAACCCCTCAGAATTCTCTGAACGATAGTAGCCGATCCTAATTTCCCAAACAGAGGTTTGAGAGTCGGAAGACACGCACTCACGATACCCGTGCCAGTTTCGATGGTCGCCCAGTAGAAAGCGGGGGCACGTTGGTAGGTCCTATCTTTCACATCGCCTAGGGCATCAAACATCGCAATGATTCGGAAGATGCCAGAGATGCAGACAAAGGTACCGAGTAGAAAGATGGCGGAAACGGTGATTTTTTGACGGGTTGGCATGTTCAGGTGCCATATTGGGTACCATGGGAGAAGTAAGACGAGACCGTCGAGGACTACATCGGTTACTACCATGGATTTGTAGAAGGCGTCGAAGTTGATGCAGATTCCCTTCGAGCTTACCCCTGGTTGCCAGTTTCCGATTGTTGGATAGCAACCCACTAGGTGTGTCAGTTCCAGATAACTGTAGGTTATTGTCACAGGCAACTCACGTAGATTGCCGAAGAAGAACGCTATTGTCCACATCATATTGAGTACAATGAAGAAACATGTTACCGTTTTGAAAGGTCGGCCTACGAAGATACGGCGGTAGAAGAAAAGAATGCTCGTTCGTGTCAAACCTGGACCGAGGATGTTTAAGATTTGTAGTGCCCATATGAGCTACTCAAGTTATAGTAAGTTATTGCCTTCAAAAATGGAATTCCTGCGACGGTAATCTACCTTGGATCGAAGAAGTGCCCACTCTGCTTCAGTTTCGGGACTTGCTGTGGGTCTTATAGACTCGTGAGTTCCCATTCTACCCGCAAAGGCACCTAAGACATAAAGTTAGGCAAGTTTCTTTATATGTTAACGTCCTGCAACCTACCGATCAAATTACAAATCGACATGCCAATCAAACAAACCTATCATCCTCTTAGCCAAACTACTCTTTATTTCAACTCCAACGTAGCAACACACCAGCGCAGCAACAATAGTATAATCATCAGTCCTATAACCCAAATGTGTTGTACGCCTCGCCTCAAAACGCGCCAGTACAGCCGTTGTAGCGAGGACAGCCATCAAAATCCCCATCGCAATGGTGATAGCATATCGATCACCCTCACCCAGCATCCTGACGTCTCAAGGTAACAACTAACTCCGATGAAAGATTGCGCGATAAAACGTGGCAAAATCACAGTGCTTACATTGCCAGCACATGGCGATGGTGGGGAAAATCGAAATATATAACCTCCCAAATCTGACATCTTGACAGGGGTACAGCCATGCTTACATGCATACATGCTTAGTATGCTCATAAGCCGTGCTACCCACGAGGGAGTCAGGGATCATTCTGAAGGATCGAAAACCTGGTTCTTCGATACCTTGCTAGGTTGGTAAGAGAATTTATGGTGTCATTGGTCCGGCTTGGTTAAATTTCAGCCCCAAAACTTCAAGGTGGCATTGGTGTGACCATTTAATCTATTTCCCGAATCTGATGTCGCATGGTTTTTGTGGTAGTGGTCGGTTGTTGGAAAGTACTCGGGTAACGAAACTGCATTGGTAAGCCCTTCCAGGTTCGGTATACAGGGAAGTTCCAATAGATGTGGGATTTTGTTGGTAATATAAAGCATAATTGGAGAATTCGCGCAATGAGACGGCTGGAGCGGAAAGGCGCGAAGATTCCATCGAATGCGAACTTCACCCCAAATAGAATAAATGGCTCAATTTTGAGAAAAACCACATACATTGTGTAGTGGTGGTTCTCCGTACACATCATTGGAATTTATTATACTAAACTCCCAGTGCTAGTTATTCCAACCGTCTTGGTACACCAATATCAATACGACATAAAAAATGACAATTATTACAAACTATTTTTATAACAATTTTACTTCTATGAGGCCTGCAAATTAATAGAATCTAAGCCCGGTATGTCCAGAGTAATGCCCAAGTCTCTTAGCAAACACTTTCAGTCTTCAAATCGTGACCTGCATCCAGCCATGGCCGTTGCCTCAGAGCCTCAACACACCAATCCAAATGTGAGCTCTGCTTCAAGTACATCATTGACAATATATCCTCCATTTTTCTTGTCCCGCCAAGCTGTTCTTTCGTGTTTAGCGAATCCCTGATTTGAATGCGTCTCTTTTTACATAGAGTAATAGAGATACAAGAAGATTTGACCCTCGCTGTCTTAGGCTAAACGAAATCTTATATATAAATAAGAGATGATCAAGTTTATGTAAGTCTTCAGAAGTTATATACTACCTTTCTTTCTTTTTCTTACAAGTGATCCACCATCCGCTGGTACGTGTGTCGGGGCATGCTGGTGCATTTAGGTTGCCAAGCCACGAAGCGAGGCCCGATGAACGTCACATAGCTTTGCCATCACATAAGTACAGGATTATCGCAATCCAATACAGTTTTACCGTTCGTAGTTTTCCTTTAAAAAGTGCTGATGCGCAAAAGGTTCAAAAAAAGTAACGAAAGAAGTAATACAAGAATGATATCAATATAAGTTTCGCTTGTGGCAAGGGGACCCACTAAATCCTTACCGCTGAAAGCGAAAAATACCCGATCACCACTTCTATCACCAACTCCTATCACTGAAAAGGTATGTCTCAAGAATCTTGCCTTCACAGTCATGGGGGTATTCATCACAGCCTTTGCGTCTCACAACGCATATTTAGACTTCTATGGCTTCTTACATGAAGCCGCAGGTCCACCCCGCAACTTTTCAGTTGATATACGAAAATGAATAAATACTTGCAAAGACATCCGGTTTCGAAATGCTTCGTGCTGAGTAAGTGAAGCAGGAACGATGTCGCCAAAGTGATCCTCAAGCAAGGAAGGGTCCACAAACAAGGGAAAATACTAGGAATCCCATCGCGTTCTAGGGACACGTATCTCACTGCTGATGGTTTGTCCCAATTTGAGGAGTTCCAACAACTAGCAAATATGAGCCCATACTGAGAAGAAAAAGAATGTAGAGTCGATTCCACCATAGCTCTATGCGGATGCGAAACTCCACCAGAGTGAATTGATGTTGGTGTGGGAACCTTCCAAAAGACGCTCGTAGTATGCTTGCATGCACACTCTGGACTTGGCAATACAGGAATTCCGAACATATCAACCTCCATATTCCAAATAGATACAATCAACCACATTGATGGCGATTGAGTAGGTGTTACCTAGGATCAGTGATGCAGGTGGTGCATTCTAGACATTTGAACTGGTCGCAGACCCACTGTGGGTACTGACAGCTTCTTCCGAGGTTTTACCTTTATAACTTCAAATAACACATCCATCTCTCGCTATTCGACCTAGTGTAATTGCGGGTTGCACTGGCGCATGGGCACAACAGTCAGGAGGAAGACGTTAAAATTCCGCAAGCCGCGGCCTATCGGAGCGAAGTATTAAACCGACCAGAAATGGTGTCTGAGTTTCCTTAAGATCCCCGTACAGTTCTTGTGCGGCTGGTGATTAAGTTTTTGTAGTTTTTTTGCTATTATTTTGACTCTTTTGGGGGTTGTGCTCTTTCAGGACTAGTGCTGTTGCTTTGCAACGACGCGTAGGGACTGCTCCTATGCCTGGTCATATGACTACGCTAGTGTGAGCAACTACATTTGGACTAGCGTGATTTAAGTACCAGAATTCAAGTCTTTGGACTCCACACACAATTGACAGTCGCTGGTTAGGTGAGTCTCCCCTTGCAAACTTGCAAGTCACTTGCCCCGAGTACTCTCTTTTTGTGTCGCGACTCGGTGACAATGTCCGATCTGGTTATAGAGCCGCGTTGTATCAAGGCCTTATGAATCTCTTCCTCAAGCAAATATCTGTGACATATATCACCAATCTTAGATCTGTCGTTATCTTTGTTCAACCCCTCGTCTTAGGTACCATCCTGGTCCTCAGGCATTATGACCTTCTTGCTACGTTGCCCTTATTCATGTGATACGGTAATGTATTCCAGCTTATCTATTCCACATTGTGCCCTCGTCTTCGGACGAAATCTGGGCGAGTAGCCTAGCCCTGGAGTTAAAGGCATCAGGAACCCTCAATATTTCAAATACTCTCGCTTTCAAGTCGCTCCCCAGCTCCCTAAACGTTGAGCTATCTCCACTTGGATGTCGACTTCGCCAGAGTATTCAGAATCGCACTTTCCTTTCCAAAAACCGACAAAATCCACCCTTGTGCTACGGATCGAGCCAGGAGATACCTCATAAAACAACAAAGTCGCCTCGCATTTGTCAGGTGCGATATTTCGACAGAAGAGGCTTCGGTTTTATCCATTTGACCCCGGAGGACACAAAAGGAAGGACAAGGGACGGAAGTAACGAAAGAAGAAGGAAAGAGTGGCAAACATGATTAGGACCTTGAAGGACTTCCAGGAACGAGGACACACACACCCCACCTTCGCTCGCTTGCGATATTTCACTCATTTGGGGGTGGACAGATCACATTGCTATGGATTCAGTATGGATCTTGATGAACAGACGCCGATTGTGCTCATCAAGGGCCTCTCGGAAAAGGATTTTCATTTGACAGTACACTTATTTGGATTTGGATTCTCGGATGAGAACTTATCAAGAGTCTCGACCACAGAGGGATTAGTGACGTTGGGGCATCGTCTTTCCATTTTATGGCGGAAACTGTTACGAAACGAGCTCTGGGCTCTACTGTCTAACACTAGCATACTAAATTGAAGGCGCTAGTCCTGTTATGAACGCTTTCATGCCGACAGACAGCTCTTATATTAGAGCCCTGCTCGCCCCTTAGCTAGCTTCCCTCCTTATCGCTTATTCCATCCTTGCATTGTGTCCTCGTCTTCAGACAGTTAGGAACCCTATTAGTAATATATACTGTTAGTAAGGGGTTCAAACGTTCTCTCTGTAGCATTCAAACAAGTATAATAGGGGACACACTAAGCTATACTGTGGATTAATCTTCTTGTGAACGTTCTTAAGTGAGTTACAAGCGGTAAATCTTGCGAGCATTTGCAGGCAAGTTAGACTAGAACCGTGGCTTCTATACTACCGAACCTATAAGGTGAATGAAGTACTTGACCATATATATTTCAGACCGAAAAGGGTGTTTGTGTTAGTAGACAAATAGTCACTCTTTCGGACTAGGGTGATGGTTCAATTTCGAGTTTTACAGTGAGTGTTTTTGCACGTGATAATCCCCACTCAGGTGAATAGGGGTATTCTGTAGATATTTAGTTAGTTCCACCGCGGGAGTTCTCTCCTTCTCTCCTTGCGAATAATAGTAGGATTTATAGTAAATAAGGATGAAGGCTTAGTAAGATACCTGTATAGTAGGATATATATTCTACCCTACTACTACTATATACCTTTAACACTACTACTATAGTATCTACTATATTATTAGCTATACTTTTATAAGCTCTTTTATCCTCCTTTTAGTCTTCCGACGATTCCTATACTCTAACTAGGGCGATATATACTATATATATAGGTACGGGAATAGTAGTAGTACTAGAATAAACGCTCGACTTTCGCTCCTCTATAATTTATAGCTCGACCCTTAACTACTAACGTACTTCATAAACTAGTATCGGGATAGTATATATAAGTCGCAATAGATATTTACTAGGTAAGGAGGGCTCTCTAGGTATAGTTTTAGCCTAAAAAGAGGTTTTCCTATACTTGTTATATAAATATAAGAGAGGTAGATATATAGATAGGGTAGGTAGTAGATATTTAAGGGATAGGTAGTAGATATTAGTATTAGGTAGTAAATATACCTACTTACTAATTATTTATAAGAATAGTTTTCCCTTATCTCCATTTTGTAACGAATACTCAAACTGGCTAACTAAACTTGGCTGGGTGTTCGCTGGTTGGTATGCTATGATAAGAAGAAGACTATCGGGTTGTTCACTTGGAAGTGAACTCGTTACTTGTATCAAAGATGTCAAACTAATATGATAAGATTGATAACTAAGTTGAGCACGAAGCTCCTATCTAATGGCAGACGTGCCAGTCTTATATAGAACCTTCGTTCCCTGATTGATCGCTCTAGTCGCTCACCCTGATCGCTTCAGTCGACCGGCGACTCAGGCGACTAGAAGAACCTTCGTTCTCTGA